AATGAAGCAAGCAGCAAAAAAAACATTGCAATTTATGGCTCCTCATTATTGTTCCAGACCACTTGTTCCAGTCTCAAAAGCTTCTTTTTTTATCAAAGCATTTTTCAACACTTTTTATCTGAAATGCAGCTTTTTAAAAATTTCCGTTTATAAAATTCTTTTTTTTTTTTTTTATTTCCATTCACAAAACATGTTATGGGTTGTTACAATAATAGAAAATAAATGCACTCCACAAAGAAATGTCTTTATATCATTTCACCTTCTCACACTCTCATCACGTTTGGCCAATGCCGGAAATTTTCACAACATCCCTTCACCAAAATCGTGAGCTGATATTGCTAAAAATAACATGTTGAAAGTCGTATAGTTAGTGTTGCTAAACCTAACATGCTACCTTTGAAAGCTACAATGATAATATACATTATTTATAGCTGTGAACTGGTGGGACACTTTCACTCTCTGACATTAGCTCTAAGTGTTGGAAATATATGTATCTATTAGCAGTGCATTTTAACTTTACCATTCTATTTTCTGTGATTAGTTTGCTGCGGGTTTTATGTCAGCATAATTGATTGTGTTTGCAGTTATCTGTGTATTTGTTGTGCATTTATGCACTTCAGTGCGTTTGTACCTCTGAACCATCTCATCATAGAGAAAAGAGCGGAAGTTCACATCTCAAACTGCTTTAAAACAACATCAAATCTCTCATACAAAAGTAACCTTGAATCATGTCACAGATGACAGATATATGGCAGCAACAAGAATCATGCTTCAACTATAATTGTGGCTACGGCTGGATGCTAAGCTGGAAGACTAAGTCCATACTTTGCATGGGTCAGCTTTTCATATTGCAACTGCCTTTGAAAATACTCCAGAGTTTCTCACTGACCTCTCCCGCTCCTGCTCGAGCAGGTTGGTGAACTCGTCGCTCTTCCTCATAAACTCTCCGTGGTTCCTCTTCTCATCCTCCAGCTTATACAGAGCCTGTTTGTGTGCCTGCTCCACCATTAGCAGCTGCTCAAGCATCCGCCTGTGGGTCTCCCTCTGTTTCTCCACTAACTTATCCAGCTGTTTCAAGAGCAAACAGAAAACATCTTTTTCTTCAGTTATTTGACAGTTATTTAACGGCCAGTATTGTTAGAGTACTGTTTCGTGCATGGATTTTTTTGTGTGTTTGACTGAGAACTGCCATTACCTCTACCATTGGTTTCTCATAGATGTCTTCCTGGAAAACATCAGACTTTCCCTGGATGGCGTCTCTCTGCAGGGCCTGTAGAACCTTCTGTGGTGTGACAAACCCATATTTGGCTTCCAAAAGCGCCAAATCAATTTTCTCTGCCTTTAGCACTGTGATCACCTCATCCCTGGCCTGTGAACAGAGAGAGAGTGATTGTGGTTGAACTGACCTTCGCCAAAACGGATGAAGATGTACAATTACTGACAAAAAGAGTCAGATATGCTCATTATTGGCATGAATCTTGGATTAAGTTGGGACTGTTAATGATGCATTTGATGCGCTCTTTATCTAAGGTGACGTAGTTCTAAACAAATTGCTTTAATTATTTTGAACAGTTGCTGGTGCAGCTTGTAGCACTGTTGGCTGGGAGGTCTCTGGTTTGATTCCTGGCCTAGAGCCTTTCTGCATGAAGTTTGGATGTTCTCCCTGTGCATCCTTGGATTTTCTGGGTTACTTCCACAGTCCAAAAACATGTCTGTTAGATAAATTGGTGTCTCTAAATTGTCCTTAGTGTTGTGTGCATGTGGTTTTATGTCTCTGCAATGACCTGTGACAGACTACTAACCTTTCCAAGGGTGTACCCTGCCTTTTGCCCATTGATATCTTGAGATAGTCACTGACCCTACTGACCCTGATGGATAAGCATAAGATGGATTGAAGGATCTGAACGGAGTCGTCATTAAACATTTATTCTCAATATTATTGAATAATATCACAGTTTATCAATTTCTCTGCCATAGACCAGTTTTTTGAATGATTGAAACTTAATATCTGACCCCTTTTCTAACCACAAAGATAGAGCTCAATCAAATAGACCAAAGAAAACATGTCATTAAGTTTCAACACGTGCAGAGGACAGGCATGTGTACAGGTAGATCACTGATGGCTGGTGAGTCACCCACCTTTTTGATTTGGATGAGAAAAGTGCACTTTCCAATTCATTTACCCATTGTTCAATCCTATATATGCGGTAATAGGGATACATTTGAAAGGTGATCTACAGTCTTTAAGAGTTGCCATAAACAGAACATTAAGACAGCTTCATGGTCAAAGTACTGTACACCCACAGACGAACAAGGGGGTGTGACTGAGGGAAACCGCCACCCGGGTTTATTGATGGGAATAACAACTTATCTTTGGAAAAACATCAAACCCTGACCAAACAGACAGGAAATGCCAGTGTTTGGAATAACAAACCTTTTTTGGGGGTGAGATTAACCACTGTAATTTACTCTGTGAAGTTTGACTTATTTAAATAATTTTATTATGAACAAAAACAAAAAAATCTAAATAAAAAATATTTACAGGAACATTTCAAGCTTGTGTGTCAGGTTCACTGTCCACCTCCAGCAGTCTATGGACCTGATATTCAGAAGCAGGTGGAAACATGTTTGTTCATGCAGAACCTACCTTTAAAGGTAGGTTCTGCATGAACCTTCATTTTTCTTTTAAAGCCAGTCACAACTGCCAGTGTCACTCTAAAACTGCTCATTTTAATGAGCGACCCAAGTCTCTTTGCACCTCCTAATATTTGAGCAATAACAAAATATGGAAAAGTTTGCTCATAGACGTAAATCAGCTAACATTTAAAATGTTTGATGTGTAAAGATCTAGGTCCCCCCCCTAAACACCAGGTGTCATCCAGACATTGGTTTTGAGGCTAAATCTGGTTCGTCATAGCCTTGATTTAGTCCAGATATAGTCACTGAAAATTGGGCTGTGTTTGTTCATTCTGATTTTGTAAGTTATCATATGATTTGTTAGTCCAATTATAGACATTTAACAGATATTGCAAACCCAGTTTTCAACGTCTTTCAATGATCTAAAATTTACAGCTTTTCACCTTTCATTTTTCAACCAAATGTAGACATTGTTTGGGTGTAAATCATGTCTTCTTTTCAACCAATTTTCGTTTGGTAGGCGCTTTAACTCTTAACTGGAATCCACCAGTCAATTCCTGGATCTGATGGAGGAATGACAGAAAGCAAGTTCAGCTGTTTGCTGTCTGTTGACATTGGCTGTCTGTAACCATTGCCCACTAAGCCAGCAAGTTTGGCTCTTGCATCCAACTGGGGTCAGTGCCATGGCTGCAGGACACTTGGCTTAGAATAAACTGGCAGCATTACTGGCAATGTTTGGATTACCTGTAGCTCTCCTTCCAGCAAGCTTAGGAGAAAGACGAGGTCATCCCTGGAAAGGTCCCTGCCCTTCTCCCGTCGCCCTCCTTTTGCAGCACTGCTGACAGTGGTTCTTCCACCAGTGCTGCAGCTGTTTTTGGCCACTTTGTGGATCCGCTCAATGGTGCCAGTGTCGTCTGGTGAGTCTCGGCGTCGACTGTGTCGTTCTGTTCTTCCCAAAGGTCCATCTCGCTCTGGAGATCGCTTGCGTGTGTCCATGTTGTGCTGCTGTGGCGATTTGGCTTTTGCTACATCCTCTAGACTGTTGCTGCGGGAGCGCATGTTCTTCCACCCTGTTGATCAATCCAGAGTCCAAAGATTATATTTCTGGTATTAAAAATATATAGTGCATTTTTTTTTCCCAGCTTTTATTTTCATTACACTGTCACAAGTACCAAGCAACGAAACAACTCTCTGCATTTAACGCATCCCCGAGGGCGAGTAGTGGGCTGCCATTGTGTGGCGCCCAGGGAGCAGTGTGGGGTTAAGGGTCTTTGCTGTGGGAAACCAAAGTTTCAGTCTGTGGGAGTGGGGCTTGAACTCAGAACCTCTGGATTCCAAGCTCTATGCCCTAACCAGCAATCTGCCCACATTTGAAACCATATATAAAACCATTGGTCAATCTGCATTTGAAAAAATAATATATTACGTAAAAAATATTTTATTTCTCAACAGTAAAAATTTACAAAATATAAATATTTTAGTATTCCTGACCAAAAGAAAAGTCTCAAATGTCAAAGAAAAATATGCGGTAAGTGCATTTTTACTAAAGTTTATCTAACTGTTAGTTGTTGGGGTAATTTATTAAAAGTCATACCTATTGTCTGACTACAGTAATTATTATCTACAATTTCTTCATTGTTATTTTTTAATTAGGTTTGATATAACTCAGAAAAAAAAGTGTTTAAAGCCCTCATTTAAAGCAGGCAGATGGAATTGGACTCTAATGCGCCTTTTCAGTAAAAGGGTTAACATCAGTATAGATGTTTTATGGGCTATAAATAAAAACTCATTGGCTTGTTTTTTAGTTTGGAGAATACAAGAACAATGGACTACATTAAATCAGGCTGAGGCAAACAGATAAACTTCATAAGCTCTTCTCTCTCAGGGAAAGGAAACCATAAGCTGCTTTGCCAAGTCATTTATTACTTCACACTGAGCTAAGGTAAACATATCCAGGAGATAGAGTGAAAAGAAGGCATGCATAGACTCATTTCTGCATGGAATAATCTGCCTAAAAGCATTACATCATCATCATTGCTATCATCTATCAAGCAACATGAAAATGTTTTGCTAAATCATTTAGCTCAAAAGTAACTGTTTTATTTAAAGTGCAATCTATGATTAATATAACCATGAAAGATTTTCATGAAATAAAAAGGATGGACAAACTCTGTTTACTGAGGAACAGAACGGTGAGTGTCCAGCCTCTGTGTGAGGCCCTTTGACAGTTTATGAGTTAGAAAGATGGCTGGCTGATTGCTGTGTGCACACTCTCGGCAAGGCGCCACATGATTCTGGGCTGAGGTAATTCCCTGCTGTCTAAGACAGGCTCCGCTTTGGATTACTCACAGATCTGGGCTGCAGACAATAGACAGAACTCCTCAACATGTGTAAGTCCTAAGAGTCATCAGAGTCAAACGAATGATGCAAAAAAAGAAAAAACAAGCAGATGTTCCCTCTGACACAACAACACCTTCAGTGCCATATGAAGCAAGAATGTGCAGAAATCCTGCAACAAATCGGGGGTCACAGATGTAGGCCCTCTGGGATCCCTACATGTGTAAGTCTCACATATCTGTAAAATTTCCAAGATGGATCAGAAATGCATCACATAGCTCATAAAGAAGGTTCACAGGACGGATGTGGAGATTGGTCCAGGTCAGTCCCCCTGCAGGGGTGGCAGGATCTTGAATAATTTCTTTTTGAGGTCAGGGCAGTATTTCTGCTGTCCTAGGGTCCTGATTTTGGCCAGCATTGTTATTATTATTATTACTTTAAGAGAATGTGAAAAGAAAAATGACAGAAACTGGAATTCCTGCCAGCTGCACTGATTTCTGTTCCTGGAAAAGAAACCAGAAAAAATGAGGAAATTATGTTTCACTTTGTCTGTATTTAGATTCTATATTTCATACAGACACTTTCCCTTTAAAGCTTTGAATTAACTAGACATCTAAATTACACATAATACCCTAACAGTATTAGATAACTGTCATTAACATAAAACTTTTTCTTTTATTCTTAAGAAAATCTCGATTCTGATAGAATTTGATTCAACAGAGAAAAATTGGTTACCTTTTGTGAAATATTATCATCTATTAGCAATCTGCTAACCCACAATATCACACCAAGAAATTCCAAATCAAAATAATCATGAGGTGGAAAAAACTGTTTTTAAGAAACATAATGATAGCTGAGGTTTAGAAAGAACATCTTCATATTGAGATTAAAAACAATATATGTGTAGGGTGTGTTATGGCCATATTCTTAGTGTTATGAGCTTATCCCTGAAATCAGGCGACATTTGCTAGCATTAGTGAAGACCTGTAACTCTAACAAAATAACTTTAGATCTAGATTTAAAGATTTCCTCTTTCAAAGTAATATACAAATATTGACATAAAGGCCCATTGTTCTCAGTCTCTGTTCAACATGGGAAAGGCAAGAGGGCATATTAATTGCTGCTTTCTATTAGCCAATACATAGCTACTTGCATAAAGACACATATTAAAAGTCAGATCAAAATGCAATGCTTAAAATAACTGAATCTTAACCTTCTTTGGTCTGACATGTCTTCCTCACTTGTCTTTCCAAATTTCTTGGTTCTCTTAAAAACTGGCACAACCTATGCAGTTAATGCAAGCCTTTAATCTCTGCTAATTAGTCACCTTTGGAGCAGTGTTTATCAGAGTTTTTCTCTATCAATGAGGTTTTATATGGTGTTTGCATTTATGAAGTTGGTTTGAGAGCCTAGTTAAGGAACAATATGCAGAGATGATCTTTTATCAGCTCAACCAGACGTCTTTCAGGCTCTGCTGCTCAGGATCTAAACATCGACAAAAACTCCATTGGTGAAAAAAAGGGATTGCAGATCATGAGTAATCACCCCCAGCTGAAAAATAAATGTGTTTTAAAGCATGTGTCATCAAACCTCCAATATTCATTCATAATAAAAACAGTTTCCAACACCTCATTTTATAGAGATCTTCAGTGATGTTCATTTAAAATGGCTACATAAAAAGAGCTCTGTTGAGGATCTTATCAGCATACCAGGTCTTAGTGAAGCGGAGGCCTGCAGATCCATGGGAGTTTGTTTCTTGTGCTGAAATAAAGTTACTGGTCTATTTTTTGACTGGGGAACGGACCTTTATCAGGTTAGGTCCACTCTAGCCTGGCTTTAAGGCATGCCTGCACATATACAGGTGGGGATGTCTTATCCTGAATAGGATCTCACAAAATGTCCTTGAAATTGATGGAAATTCAAAAAAAAATGTTTTGATTGGCACTGATATTAAAGGTATAGTGGCGGATGTTCCCTTTACCGGGTGGATTATCAAAATAAGTGGTCCTCCTAATTCATCCTCCATTATTCTGGTGATATGTTTAGATAAGGCTGTCCTACGAGCTTGTCCCCATTTACACTTAGCAGTCTGACATAGTGGAAAAAATTGCAAATCTTCTTTTGGAAAGTAAGCTTGTATGAGTGATGCAAGCAGCAACTTTTGAACACAGGAAGAGAAAATGGGCTCGTGCATGCTCTTGCACCAGTTTAATAGGCATTCTGTCTCGGGAGCGGGTACAGGGTTGTGCATGTGCATTGTTTTTTTAAGAGGGTGGGTCTTTTCAAAAATTTGCGAAAATCCTCCACTATACCTTTAAAACAGGTGAAGTTGCATTAAAATTAAATGGTAGGTTAAACAGTTTTCTTGAAGAATACGACACTATAACAAATGTTTACTTTTCTATCATGGATATTAAATATTTATGGATGCCCCTGTAAGGCGACTATGAGCCGCAATGTGTATCATCATAACCGCTGTAAGGCAACTATAAGCTGCTATATGCAGCTGACTAAATAAATACAGGACCAAATAACTACTTCTTTGCCAAACAATGTTTTAATTTCTTTGGAAGGCTTTTCATCAAACCTTACTGCACAAACAAACACCTTATAAAACATTTTTTCCAGATGAAGTCACAGTGTTACACAGATGTCAACCTTTATCCATCCTGTTTGTACCTGCCGTTTTCCCTGCAATAATTATTTATCATGGGTTTTCATCTGCTTAGGACTTTACAATAACAGCATGAATTAGTGTGTGACGTGTAGAAAACTGTCCAAATATGACTTAACTGTGCTTTCAACTCTCACTTAATCCCCTCCAACCAGTTTCTGAGTACCTTGAATAAACTCTGATCGCATTTTATTGTGAGCAGGAATCCGTGCCAAGAGATGACGTTATAGAGAACAGGTACTCTGATCTTACACAACACATTTGGCTGCTCATTTCATGAAAACCCAACACCGAAAAGAGTCTGTCAAGCAAAACCAGGATTAAGCACAAAGGTAGAATTAATAATAATAGCTGATGGAGTTGTGCAAGAGTTCAAGACCTGTACCAGCTGGTCATGTCTGAAAGTAGTTTCAATTTGACTTGTCCTTTACATGATTTTCTTGCTGCTTTTATAACTTCTTTTTTGTGGCTTTGATTTTACAAACTACTCATTTTAAAGTCTAGCAATAAGAGCTATATGTTAACTTTAGAGACATATTGTGGCTTATGTTAAAACATAGACTCTAATGACAGCTTTAAGCAGTAATTTTTTTCTGTGGACGCACAAACAACATGTCCTGCTGCTGTGCAGCACATACCGCTAACAGCTGCTATTTGTAGCAAAATATATCAAGATTTTGTCAGGATAAAATGCTGCTTTGTAATGCAGCAGCATTAAAGTCAGCATTGAAAGAAATGTATATTTTATAATAGTCACACATACTCCACTGAATGTGTGCAAACTATAGGCCAGGGGAACTTGTAGGTACAATGTTAGACTTTATTTTTTGTTTAATTCATATTAAATTACCATTTCCACCACCCATACTCCTGGGCCTGTCAGGTTGCTTTTTCATCCCAAGGTTGGGTCCTTTACCAGAGGCCTGGGATCATGAGGGTTATTCTCAGCTGTCCCTAGAAATGTGCATTTCTGGATAGAGATGGAGATCTTTGATGTTTCTCCATGTATTTTCTCAGGTGTGCTCCAATGTCCACCAGCACTACTTTTGTCTTCA